AAAGCGGTCTCAAACTGGATTATTTCTGCAGTGTGTTTTGGACCTAAACCTATGTGAGTCTTACGATGTACAACATATTTTCTTATGTGACCTGTATGTTCTGCATTGTGTGCTTTCAAGTCATTTTTGACTTATGGCGACCTTAAGGCAGGGTGACCGGGCGTCCTCCTTTCCCAGGACATGCCCTACATTTCAACCTTCTGCCCAGGAGGAAATTGAACTGTCCTCCATTTTGAGCATGGAGTTCTATAATGGTATTGCAAGCCTTTAACATAGATAAGTTCATCAGAAAAATATGGTGGAGTACATAATATAGCTGTAAACAAACCATATGAAATGAATTTACATTTATACAAGTGTTTTAGCTTTTAGTTTTTAGATTTCTTGGCAAGATTGGTTCAGAGGAGGTTTGCCATGGTCTTCCCCTGAGGCTGAGAAAGTGTGACTTGCCAAAGTTCACCTAGTGGGCATGTGGCTTTCTTGGCAAGATTGGTTCAGAGGAGGTTTGCCATGGCCTTCCCCTGAGGCTGAGAGAGTGTGACTTGCCCAGGGCGACCAGATGTCATAATCACAAAGGAGGGTGATACGCTGCAAAACGTAGAACATTACAAAATAAAAATGAAAAACACTCATATTAATATAAATTCATGCTTCTGGAGGACATTTTGGAATTCATCTTGGCCACAAGGCTGAAATGTAGGACATGTCCTGGAAAAGGAGGGCCTATGGTCACCCTGAACTTACCCAAGGTCACTCAGTGGGCACAAGGTTTTATCGGAAAGATTGGGTTCAGAGGTTCTCCAGGCCTTGCCCTGAGGCTGAGAGAGTGTGACTTCCCCAAGGCTGCCCAATGGGTTTCATGGTCAAGCTGGGAATCAAACCCTGGTCTCCACAGCCATTATCATTATTATTTATTTATATACAAATATATAATATATATAAAATGTGTATATATATAAAATATATATACATACAGTATACGCTTATACAAGGGGATAATAATTCCCCTCACAGGAACCTGAGAGGAGATTCACCCTGGCCTTAACCTGAGGCTGAGAGAATGTGACAGCCCCAAGGCCACCCAACAGGTTTCATAGCTGAGCTGGGAATCAAACCCTGGTCTCCACAGTCATTATCATTATAATATCTATTTATATAAAATAAACGTGTATATGTGTGTGTGTA